CCCCCTCCCTCCCTCTGTTTCTTTCTTCTCCCCCCTCCCTCTCTGTTTCTTTCTTCTTCTCCCCCCTCCCTCTTTTTTTTCTTCTCCCCCTCCCTCTCTCTGTTTCTTTCTTCTCCCCTCCCTCCCTCTCTGTTTCTTTCTTCTCCCCCTCCCTCCCTCTCTGTTTCTTTCTTCTCCCCCCTTCCTCCCTCTCTTTTTTTTGCTTCTCCCTCCCTCCCCTCTCTTTTCTTCTCCTCCCCCCCTCTCTTTTTTTTTCTTCTCCTCCCTCCCTCCCTGTTTCTTTCTTCTCCCCCTCCCTCCCTCTCTTTTTTCTTCTCCCTCTTTCTTCCCCCTCCCTCCCCTACCTGTGTGGTAGTGTGGCCGAGCCCAGTATAGTCCGACCGGTACAGGGAGCTGTTGTTTCCTGTACCCGGCCGGACTAACAGGAAGTGAACACTCAGTGTTCACTTCCTGTTAGTCCGGCCGGGTACAGGAGACAGCTGCTCTCTGTACCGGTCGGACCATGCCATAGAGGGCTCGGCCACGCTACAGAGAGGGAGCTGACAGGTGGGAGCGCTGAGTGTGTCCCTCCTGTCAGCCTCTCCTCAGGCTGCGCCCGGGCGGTGCGGTCCGCCCTCATGGACGCACCGCCCGGGCAAAGCTGCAGCCGCCTGAGGCTCTCTACAGAGCGCTCGGGCGGCTGCAGCATGAGCGGGGCCGGCGCTCCTGGCGGCGCCCCCTCCCAAGGGGCGCCCTAGGCGGCTGCCTAGTCCGCCTTACAGGTAGCGCCGGCCCTGTTCCCTACTTTTGTCCTCTGGTATCCCTCTTATAGGGACACCAGAGACATGTTACCAGCAAAGCTGTGCTGTGTAAAATAAACACAGGGCCATGCCAGAGCTCTTCAGCAGGGTTCTGCACATGGGATGCCCTGTAGGGACAGCAAACTAATGTACGCACTTTGAGGTGGCGTGCGTGTCATTGTTGATCACATGATGCATCATCTCTGTTCTGCCCCCTTTTACAGGGCCGCTCTGGCTTTAAATGCCCGGGCTGAAATATTTTCCCTGTCCGGCCCTGGCTCCAACTGACATGTATATGAGGCTGCTCACAAAATTGCATGTAACGGAATAATGAAAAGTTTCTTCTCTGTTGTCACCAATATAAGGGACTCTGGGTTGACTTGCAAAACCACAGGTAAAGATTTCTTCACCATCTAGCACCATAAAGTAAGTTCTTATAAACAAGCTAATATGTCTTCTTCTACATATTTTGGAGATATAAGTGGCAAAACATTTAATTAGGTTCCACAACCATTTGTCGTTAAAATTCATGTTCTATCTGTTGATAGAACCCTATATTAAAATTTGCTGAAATGACACTTGAATTTCCACAAGAAAGAAAGAAAGATAATTGCCTAGATTCAGTTTTCTGCTCCAAATTCACAAAAGGTTCACATTTATCTTCTCCAGCACCAGCATTCCCCCATCTTTTGGTAGGGAGAGTGCCTTCAACTTTAGGTAGGAAATATGACATCAGTTTTAGTCACATTGAACGACTTGATCTATCAGTTCAATGGCACTAATAAGCTAGGCTTTGTCTAAGCCGGTTGCTAATACAAGGTTAATCCAGAGGCCTTCGGGGGGTGAAGTAGGCCACAGTGACTGTCTCCAAATTTGGCATATGCTTTAACTGAACCTGCCATTAATTCAAAATGGATCTATGAATATAAACTGAGTAACTGTAAAAGTTAATTTGGGCAATCAATCAGAACAACCATCAAGACGCTCTGACTAGTTGTGACCTGTGAGCATGGTGGTCAAGTAGTTAAGCTAAAGCTATTGAATTTGTTTTACGTGTCTGTTTTACTTAATGCTTTAATTATGTCAGTCTTGTCTGTTGGTGAAATTGCTAGTGACCATCTTTTTTTATTATTGTTTTTAATTTTGGATTGGTGTTGAATGCAGGGACTGGAGCATGAACCAATTGAACTACCAATCATCCATTACTGTACACAATATTGATGGGTAGGTGCTGACAGATTCGAGTAAACAGCTGTAGTTCACGTGGTCTCAATTTCCAGATGGAAATCAGCCTCTTTGGTACTTGGTACTGACTGTTTTTGCCTATCATTCCTAGATAACGGACACCTGGGCTGGGCTTACTCAGAGCTAAAAATTGTTGCAAGAGTTTCTTCCACCCATTTTTAGTGAATTCCATGTTAGCAGTAACTATTAATCAAATGTTTGAATAATTTTAAATTGTATAAACTTTAACAGAACATTTAATTTGTCTTTTTTTGAAACGCTAATATTTTGAAAAAAAAAACACTGTTTAATAATATGTTTAGTAATTGTTTTTCTGGCAAGTTCGCAAGTTTGAAAATGTAACTTCACAGTTTTAAAGGATGAGATTGGCATCATTACAAATTGTGTTCGTAAATTTTTTTACTGTCAATCGATAATAAATGTTAACAAGGGTAAAATTAAGAGAGAGAGTCTGCCAAACACCCATGAAATAATGCGAATTTAACCAAATTCTATACAGGGAGGAAAAAGCTATGAAGAGTTA